AACAGTGTAGGAGATTTTTGGTTTGTGCACATCCTTGTCAACAGTTTCAATATTTTTTCATATTTCTCTTTGACTTCTGGTTAGTGTCTGATGGTACCAAGTAGTGATTTTCTTTTAATGTCCTTGATTACTATGGAAGTTGAGCATCCTTTCACATATTTATTAGACATTGGGCATCCTCTTTTTCAAGTATGTGTTAGTTTATTTTGTCCATTTTTATTGTGGTTTTTTTGGTTGTTTGTTTTTTTGGTTTGTTTATTTTTTCTTATTGATTTGTAGCAATTCCTTTTATCTGCTGGATAAGTTTCCTTTGCTGGTCTCTTTTCTCACACTGTCTCTGTGTCTCTTGGTCTTTCCTGTGTGTGTTGTGTTTTGATAAGGAGAAAGTCTTAATGTTAATGTAACTATTTTCTCTTTTATAGATAATGTTTACTGTTCTGTTCAATAAATTCTTTCCTATTCTAAGACTACAGTTATTCTCCTTTTTTAAAACCCATATATCACTTTAAAATTTAGATTGGCAATCCATCCAGAATTGTTTTGCTGTATGTTTGGGTAATGTATTCTATTTTCTTCTGAGAAGATAACAAGTTTGAATTCACTGAGAATATGTGATATTGTTCCTTCTTTTCATTTGCTTTCATCTCTCCTTGCTCATGCAGGTTGACATCACTGCTCCTTTGGATCCATCTTTCCTGTGAATGTCCTGGTAAATCTGGGTCTCTTCCTGCTCCTTCAGTCTTTCACAGTGCCACAGCACCACACAACCAAGGGCAGTCTTGGTATCAAAAATCTTCAATGGATCTTTTTACTCAATAAATCATAACCAAATTTTTAAGGGAAAGGTGCACCCTACGGGGAAACGATTCTGCATGATCCTCTCTTTTTTTTTTTTTTTCATATCTTGTTTCAGCTTCTGTCCTGGAATGGCTTGCAAACATTTTTGTGTAACAGCCTCTGAGGATGGCATTATTGTCTTTCTTGGGGAAAGGGCAGATTAACTACCTGGCCAATGTACTAGAGATAATGCCTTCCTCAGAGGCAAATGTTGGGCAGATGCATTTCTTTTTTTTTTTTTAATTTTTTTTTTTCAAACGTTTATTTATTTTTTTTTTTTTTTTGGGACAGAGAGCATGAACGGGGGGAGGGGCAGAGAGGAGACACAGAATCAGAAACAGGCTCCAGGCTCTGAGCCATCAGCCCAGAGCCTGATCTCGAACTGATGCGAACTCCCACGGGACTGGCAGAGATCGTGACCTGGCTGAAGTCGGATGCTTAACCGACTGCGCCACCCAGGCGCTCCTGCATTTCTAATTCAACGGAAAAAATTGGGTTTTCTGAACTTAATTTTCTCCAGCTGTGACATGAATCTACTGTGTGTGCAGCATCCACCTGGACTTCTTTGCATGGCCCCCGTGAGACCTGTGGAAGCAAAGGGAAGAGATGTGAACACAAAGCTCTTGCTGCCTGTTGTGCATGCATAATACTGCCTTTGTCTCAGTCCCTGGCATCTCATGTCTTCTACCAGCATCCATGCAGCTGGCAGGCTAACTTACTGGTTTGTAAATGGGGTAAAATCTTACACCCTTTACATTTCTGGACAGTCTTAGCAATGAGGATAGGGTAGCTATTGAGCCATACAACCACCAGCCTTAGTGTGTTGTCATAGTAGCAGAGGAAAGCTATGTTGATGAGGTAGTTTGGGCCTCTCTCAATCTGTGTGGACTGCTGTAAGAAAATTCCACAGGCTGGGAACCTTATAAATGAATTCATATCTCACAGTTTTGGAGGCTGAAAATCTGAAATCAGGCTGCCAGTGTGGTTGGCATGGGCCTTCCTCTGGGTTGCAGTCTTCTTGTATCTTATATTCACAGGGTGGAAGGGATGAGGGAGCTCTCAGGTCTCCTTGTAAAGGGCACCCATCCCATTCATGAGGGCAGAGCCTCCCAATCATGTCTCAAAGGCTCCACCTTCAAATGCCATCACCTTTGGGGTTAGGTTTCAATATATGAATTTTGAGGAGATGCAAACAGACCATAGCAGGACCCTTTGGAACAAGTTCAACAACCAGTTGTTGTTTCTGCTGTTAGAATGTGACAGGAATTGTGTTATAGGCTTGTGCTTCCCCATCCCAGAAATTGGGGATTATCCCAGTCAGGGTGAGGTGCAGGTAGAGAAGTGTTACTGGGACACACAGCCTTTCATTTGCCCCCAGTGTGTGTGTATAAGGGCTAAGGATTTAGGTCAACCTCTGATGTACCAGGTTTTCATGATACACATGATATACTGTCTTTTTGCAAGTTAGAGGCCTCAGTCTCAATCGCCCTGTCTCACATGCTATCACCTATCTGCCAGTAGGGGTGGCTGATACCACCTGCTCAAGTTCAGAGTCCTGTATTCCAATGAAAATACGTTAGAACTCTATGGGCACATTTACAGTGCTCAATCCCTCCAGCAGTGAGGGGAAAACCCTTGTTTCTTTGCCTTCCCATCACCTAAAAGGAGGTCCAGCCCTTACTGGACCTTAATGGTGTATGGGAGACGGCACACGTCTCTGCGAGTGAGAGTCTGTCATTTGGAGCCTTTGGCAAAGGGAGTCAGCCTCTACCTAGGAGCTTCCTAGGGGGTGTGAATTTGAGGCTTCTGTGACACAACTCACAGGTGTGCTCTTTTAAAATAGCAGTGCTTGGGGCGCCTGGGTGGCGCAGTTGGTTAAGCGTCCGACTTCAGCCAGGTCACGATCTCGCGGTCCGTGAGTTCGAGCCCCGCGTCAGGCTCTGGGCTGATGGCTCAGAGCCTGGAGCCTGTTTCTGATTCTGTGTCTCCCTCTCTCTCTGCCCCTCCCCCGTTCATGCTCTGTCTCTCTCTGTCCCAAAAATAAATAAAAACGTGGAAAAAAAATTTTTAAAATAGCAGTGCTTAAAAACTAAATTAAATAAAGAGTTTTTAAAAGACTGATTAGCTTATTAGTGAGCTCTCCTCAAAACTGATCCTTAGATGCATTTCGACTGTGTGCCTTGATATTCCAATTTTGGACTGAGTCAACACGGACTCACTTGTAACAGGATAGAAAGGGCCCCAAAATTCCCATGTCCCATGGAAAGTGCATATTCAAGAATGAAGGCAAACTCTTTCTAGCAACATGTCAGCTTGACCAGAAAAAGTGGTACCTGTCCCTTGAGAAGACATTTTTAGCTCCATGCTTTGGTGAAAGCCACTGGCACTAGGAACCCTCAATCCTCTGAGGGTCCCCTAAAAGCATGTCCTTGTTCGCTGATGGTTTAGGTAGTCTGAACCCTAATGGTGTCCCCTGGGCCACTGGAATGGGTTAGTCTCAGTGCCGGCTCTGCAAATCTGAAATCAGAGGCAGTGGTTTCCTTCATTGGTCACATGTCAGATTCCTGGGCTGCTGCCAAGGGTCCAGCTGTCAAGTGTGCGACTTGGAAAACTATGGATGCCAGATTAAGGACCGCCCTGCCTTTCTTGGGCTGTGAACTGTGGAAACCAATTGCATCGCTCAAATACTTGTCTGGGTCACTCATTCAGATGCCCATGGTGAGGCCTGTTCTTTACAGAGTCTGCCCAGAATCAAGTTGCTGTTTGAGACTGTTTCTGACTCAGAGTTGTCTGTACATGGCACGCCTGTGACCTCCCCACCCCAGCCTTAGTGAGGTATATTTGAGAAAGAAAATTTTATGATATTTAAAGTGCACTCTTACCTATGAAGACCCATAGTCTCAGTGAGCTGTTGTAGTGGTGGGGAGATCCTGGGCACATGCAGGGCAAGGATTGAAATATGTAATGCTACCACCATCTCCGTGTATGAGGAACAGTTGTCTCACTGGAGTGGGTAGGCATGTTTGGAAAAGAAGCTTGGGCTATTCAGACGTGTCCAGGAGTCCTAGCTCAGCTCTGGCTTTCAAGGGGGCAGTGAAGGGGGGAAAAGCATCCCAGGTCTTCTCTTCCCCATTCCCCAACTCCCCGTGTTAAGGTGCTCTTAAAATGTGGTGGGGGGCTGTGTTGAGTAAAGCTTGGAATAGAGATTAATTAGTAAGACCCAACACTGCTCCCACTCTGTGAGAGGTAAGACTCCAGCGCATTGTCACAGTGCCAGCCCAGGGATAGAAATTCTGGGACAGACAGATGAGAGACTGAGAGATACGTGGGTTTAGGGTGGGGTGGTGGTGGTATGTGGTTCCGGGGACTGGAGGACCAAGCCTGAAGAGAGGCAGGGAAGGGGAGACATTTATGCAGAGATCTGAGCATTAAATAGGAACTGCTCTCCAAGTAGAAGAGATGGTTTGGACAAATGCTGTTTCACGTGAAAAAGCACGACGTACGGAGAGGGCTCTAATTTTCCAGGACTGCTGAAGTGCAAAACGGGGAATGGATGTGCCTCAACACTGCTTTGGAACCAGAACCACACGGGGCTTGAGCTTCAGGCAGAAAGTAAGGCAAGTCGCCGCCCTTGTGTGGGCCTCCGCAAAATAAAGCATAAAACCAAAGTCTCAACCCCTACTCCTCCTTCACAAAGTTGCTGGGGATAGATCCATCAGCCACTAGTGCCACCAGCTCACAAGCCAAAACCTGCAGACTGTCTCGCTCCCCACATGACGTCATGCAATCCTAGCGACGCCGGCGCAGCTTTGTGCAGGCTCGCCAGAGGCAGGTTTTGCCTCCTTCGATTCCGCCCTTCATTGGCTAAAACAGCCGCTCGTCTGGGCCGTTGTTAGCGGCAACGTGGGCGGGCACAATCTTGGTCGCTAAGATACCACGCACTTCCGTTTCCTTCCCCTCTCAGCTATACTCAGGCAGCTTCAGCTCGTCCCCTCGACCAATGGCAAGTGGGCAGTGGGCGGGGCTTCACTTGTCCGGACCAACGAAATGCAGACTTGGCCTGGCGTAGCGCGGCCAATGACCGTGGGACAGCCCCTGTAAAGTGGCTCGGGCGCCCCCACGCTCGTCTTTCGTCCTCTTTCCATCCCTGCCCCTCCCTGCACCGGGTTCAGCACGGCGCTGGCCGCGGTCTGACAGGAACGGGACGGAGCCAAGATGGCGGCGGCGGACGGCGACGACTCGCTTTACCCCATCGCGGTGCTGATAGACGAGCTCCGCAACGAGGATGTTCAGGTCCGGAGGCCACGGGGAACTTGGGGAAGCCGGGAAGGGGTAATGGGGGCACGGACGGCCCTCGCGGAGAAGGCTCAGTGTTCGCCGGGAGCGGCGGAAGGGGGCCGCGGCCAATCAGCGTCCAGCTCTCACGTCTTCGGGTGCCAGGACTGGATGAGACGGCGCCGGGGATTGGGTGTCGGCCCACCGGAGGGCGGGAGGCAGGCCACCCTGGAGGGTCCCAGGCCTGCCCTGTCGAGTGCAAGCGGCTGCCGGGGTCCTGGGAAGCTTTGGCCGGGGAGGGGGTCGGGCCACTGGGTGGGGCGGAGGGAAAGCCTCGGTGATTGGCCGCAGCCCCTGAGTGGCCCTTTGGGATGGGGAGGGTGTGCGACTTGCTCCGAGTGGGGGAGGGGCGCCTGGTGGGTCGGGACCCGGGTAGGTTTTCCCCTTCCTGGGAGATCCGGCGGCTAGGCCTTAGCGCTGTGGGGGTAAACTCTCTAAATGGGGACTGAGAGATGACGGCTGTCTTTCCAGTTCCTGCTCTCCCCCTCTCTTCAGTTTTGGTGTAGATTCCCGGAGGGGAGGGGCGGCGAAAACCCCACTCCCAAGGGGGCAGCTAGCTAAATTTAAGAGCGGATTTCTAGGTAGAAATTCCCCCGCTTTGGGGATCCTGCCGAACTGCGGGTGGGCAGTTTACTAAACAGGCTAACACATTTTTGGTGAGTGGGATGGCCGAGGGTTCAGAAGACTAAGGACTCCAAGGTTTGCCCATCCCAGCTCCACCTCCCACCCGTCGTGTGACCTTGTGCACATTACTTCACGGCTCTGGGCCCGCTTTCCCCGAAACGTGGGCTAATGATAGTTCAGGCCTCACCGAGTGCTTGTGATGGACTGAAGGAGTTAATACCGCAAGTAAAATAGAACGGTGCTTAGTTGTTATGAGGGCCTAATAAACGTTGGCTACAATTATTGGAGTGAGAAGTAATTGAAGAGGTCCCGTCCTCCCTTTATAGGGGCCAGAATTTGTCTGTTTATAAAATTGAGCGGATTGCGCTGGGCCCAGCCTCTGAGTGATCTCGAGGTAGAGCTTTCTGGCTCTGGAGTCAGACCGGTTGCTGTTGTACTCCTGGCTCTTCCACTTCTTGCTAATAGACATGGGCAAGTTGGTTAATCTCCTTAAGCCTTGATTTCCTCTTCTCTCAAATGGAGGTCATTATCTGGTTCATGGGGCTGTTGTGTAAATTCATTTGTTCAGTAAACACCTGCCACGTATCACTTATGGTGCTGAGGATATAATGGTGACACCATTTGTTATACAAGAGGCAGATGTGAAACAGCTGAATACATTATTAACACGTGTGTCATGTGGGGAGGAAACAACAGCGTATTGTGATAGTGAATCGGTTAGTATTTATTGGGCCTCTCCTCTGGGTAGGGCTTTGTTCTAGGCACAGGTACACAGCAGGGAACAAGATGAACAAAAACTACCCGCCTCCTGGAGCTTTATGTTGCCATGTGGGGAAGCAGATAATAAGACACTTAAGTAAAACGTATGCTGTCAGGATGGTAAAAGTGCTTTGAACAAAAATGAAGCAGGGATGGGGAGGACAGGAGAGTGTTACAGGTTCAGATAGAATGGCTAGGGAAGGCCTTATTGAGAAGGGGACATTTGAACAGAGATGTGAAGTGAGGAGCAGGCCCCATGGATGTCTGGGGAATAGCATTCAGCTAAAAGAAGCAAGTGCAAAGGTCCTGAGGCAGGAATGGTGCAGCACGTGTTCTGGGAACTGCAGGAAGGCCAGTGTAGCTGGAGCCAAGAGAATGAGCTGTTGGTGTTGGGAGATGAAGGTGAAAGGGGTCATGACTCACAAGGCTGTCCTGAGCAATCACTTAAACCAGGTGTTCCTGGATCGACGGTCAGAAAAGAATTCTTGAGATATTTTATGGTGCAGCTTAGTAAATTTATTTAAGTAGCACAGGGACAGGACCTGTGGGCAGAAAGAGCTGCACTTTGGCTGTATGTAGCCAGTGGTTATTATATGCTTAGTGCTCAAGGGTGAGGGATTTTGCAGGGAGTATTAGATCATAAATGTTTTCTTAGAATTTCTACTCATAAAACTACTTTCAGAAGGTTTTTCTAGTGATTATCATTTAGCTTGATATTAACTATGGGTGAGACGTACAGGCAGTCATGAGCCTCTTTAAGAATGTAGTAACCAGTACATATTTGGTCCTTATTGAAAGTAGGCAAGCTATAGGTCAGCCTTCTGGGCTAAAGGTGGACGTTTTCTGCTTCTATCTTTCATCATCACAGGGGTTGGCAAATGGCCACGGGTGGCCCTTTGCCTATTTATTTTTAATAAAGTTTTATTGAAAACAGACCCATTCGTTTACATACTGTCCATGGCTGCTTTTGTGACACAACAGTGGGGTAGAATTGAGAACAGAGACAGTCTGGCCCCTTTACGCCTAAAGTATGTACTGCCTAGTTCTTTACAGAAAAGAGAGTGCCAACCTTTGACTTAAACCATCTCTGTATCAAATCCCATCCTCTCCTCCCCGCCCCCAGAGTAACCCATGTTGTCAGGTTCTTACAAATCTTCATAGGCGTGTGCAGTTCAGTGTGGTAGCCACTCTCCATATATGGCTATTGAACACGTGAAATATGGCTAGTTTGAGTTGAGATGTACTTGGAAGTTAAATGCATACCAGATTTCGAAGACACACAATGGAGAATGGAGTGAAGCTTTTTATCTTGATTACCTGTTGAAATGATAAAAATTTTGTTATAGCAGGTTGAATAAAATCTATTAAGATTAATTTTGCATGCTTCTTATTTTTTTAATGTTACCAGAAGATATAAACTTAGATCTGTGGCTTGCATTTATTATCTGCATTAGATTTCTTTTGGAGTCTGCACTGTATTTGAGTGTGCTCCAGTCAAATATAGAAAAAGAAAGCAAGTGGCTTTTTATTTTTTTAAACATTAAATATTTTTTTCTGCAACTTGCACTTTTAGCTTGTGTTTTTATCCAAATCTTTTCACACAGATATATACAGATCTGGGTGTGAAAGGAATTTGAACATTTTCCTAAGAATCAGAGACAGAATCTCAGAGATTGCATCTGTGTCCATGTGTATGGGCTTTCTGAGGACAGGGCTTGGCTCTGATTCATCTCTCAGGATTCAGAGGCTCAGTACAGGCCTCAGAACAGAACCCAAAGTCACAGTCATCACCAGGAAGGCCTGTGGCGGTGTCTATGATATCCAGTGATACAGGAGCTCACAAAGGGTTGGATAAATAATAATGATAGCTGATGTCTGTTGGGTGATCGCTCTAAGCTAACGGCTACAAAAGGCAGTACATTTGCGGGCTTACTGAATTCTCATAGCCATTCTCTGAAGTGGGTCCTGTGTGTACCTATATTTTCCGGATGGGGAAACTGAAGCACAGCACAGTAAGTAACTTGGCCAGATTTATGCAGCTGAAAAGTGGAGGACCCAGGAAAGGTTCCCAAAGGAAGGGTAAGACCTGAGGAGAGGACAGTATTTGGGGAGGGACAGAAACTTGCTATTTCCATATGCCAGATACTTTAAGTGGCCTTTGATGAGACAGCCTAAGATACTAGAAAAAACATGGGATTTGCAATCCTCTAGTCTTGATTCATTTCTCAGCTGATACTTGTTCAGCACCTCCTACACACCAAACTGTTTTAAATGCTAGGAGAGGGGTGCCTGAGTGGTTCATTCAGTTAAGCATCTGGCTCTTGGTTTTGGCTCAGGTCATGATCTCATAGTTCATGAGATGGAGTCCCACATCTGGCTCTGCACTGACGGTGTGGAGCCTGCTTGAGATTCTTTCTCTCTCCTCTCTGCCCCTCCCCCACTTGTGTGCGCATGTGCATGCATGCCCATCCTGTCTCTCTAAATAATAAATAAATAAACTTTAAAGGGTAGGATACACTGGGGAGTAAAAGAGCAAAGCTGCTGCCTTTGTGGGACTTACGTTCTAGTAGAGGAGGCAGACGGATCAAGAATGTGATGTCAGTGGCAGTAAGTGTTTATTAGAAAAATAAGGCAGGGACCCGGGAATAGAGCAAGCCCCGGGCTGCTTTTTAGACAGGGTGTGTAGGGAAGGTTCTCTGAGGAAGGGATCAGGAGTAAGGACTTGAATGAATGGGGGGCAGGGAGGACTCTCCCAGCTGTTGGTACGTTGGTACAAAGGCCCTGAGGTGGGAGCGTGCTCCTTGTGTTTAGAGAACGGCCAGCAGGCCGGAGGCATGGCTAAAGCAGAATGAATGGCAAAGTGGTGAGAGGTGAGGACCAGTCTGAAATGAGATGGAGTGAAGGCCTGTGGACCAGAGCAAAGGCTCTGGTGATGCTGCAAGGCTTTGGCTAGAGGAATGGATGTTCTGACTTAATTCTAAAGGATCCTTGTGGCTGTTTAGTGGGGGCTGGGCAGGAGCAGATAGACCTGCTGGGGTGCTGTTGCAGAGCACCCAGGACTGGTGTCGGCACGTATGTAGGGAGAAGAGGTTAGATTCCAGGTCTGTTGAGAGAAGGGCTGTTGGGGTTTGCCGGTGGATAGGATATAATGTGGTGGGTGGTGAAGGGGGAGTCAAGGATGACTGAGCTTTGAATCCCAGCTCCGCCACTTTGCTCCCTGTGTATCCTTGGACCAATTCCTTGTCCTCACTGGGCCCGGATTCCTCGTCCTGAGAGTGGGGATAATGATGAGGAAGCAGCATCTGCCATGGAGGTTGTGAAGATGCGGTAGACCCGACACGTTAAGTGGCTGCTTAGAAGTAGGCATGCGGTAGTGACGACCTCGGTCAGTGGTCGTGGTAGCTCATTGTTTATACTCGGGAAGGTGATGTGCAGAAAGATGGTGTCCCTTATGTAAGGCCTGCCCAGTCCGTGAGTGGCAGAGGCCAGGTTGCAGTATCCACAGGTGCTTGGGACACGGTGATGCTGACAGCATGGTCCCCTGGCTGAGAGGGTGGGTCTCTGTTAGGCTGTCT